TCGATATTTAAACAACTGTGCATACATGTCAATATAAGTGCAAGACTACATGACAGATCACTGGTAACTAAGGGCGATGTTATTGGCAAATTACCATTTTGGTACTATTTCTTCAAGTGCCTGTTAGCTCTTTGCTCTAACTCTGCCCTAAACGGTAAAGTCACACACACATAAGCACATGGCTATTCAAGAGCCACACTCTGCAGTGTCAGTCAGGCTGAGTTAGTTTGCTTAATAGGGTGACAAGACAAGTCTCAAAAGCAAGAGACAGCAGCGCTCTGCCTCAGGGTGTGCAGAAAGCTCAGGCACTAGAACTGGAAAATATCCAGTTTCAAAGGTTTTTCATCTGCCTCAGTCAGCTCGTACTCAATTTCATGTCATGCGGATATGCTGATGTCCTAAAAGCAGATTGGAAAAACTGGAAAGATTTGCTACCTGAATAAAATCTTTTTGTTAAAAAAATGGACTGTTTCATGAACCTAGCTTGTCGTTTTTATGATGTCCTAAACTTGCCTCTTTTAGGAAAAGAGTTTATTGTTATTCATGAAAAGAAAAATTAATTTAATCAACTTTCTTGAATGCGGTCTTTTGTTATTATTATAATATTTATATCACAGATACCTTTATTCACTGTAATGTACAATTTCTACAGTTTTTAAAAAATAGTTTTTTGTATAATGTTTTTTACTGATTCATCTGTATAACTGATATAATTAATGTTGAGAATGCTGGGAAAGTTACATATAAGGTAGGTTTTAAAACGTTATGCTTCTTTATTAACAGGCATTGGGATGTTATGAAGTGGGTTATGTTTTTGCTTCATCTATTGCATGTTGTAGGTGTGAAGTCATTAAAAGTGCTTTGATGTCAGTTACACACGCCAAGTGCAATCTGTGAACTGCACAGCAAAAATAAAGGAATTAGTTAAGTCTGTCAGCATAAGTAAATGGCCAGTTTTGCAGTTTATACATACTAAACAGTAGCTCTCCATTGATACTGGAGGTGAAGGGTGTGTGAACAGCAAGGCTAACCATTATTATCGCTCTCTCTGTCTGCTGCTGATCATTATTCCTTCAACCCTCCAAGAGCCTTAAATTAACCGATCTCCTAGATTTCCAGCATGTGAAAAGGAAGTGAAGAGTTTAGAGACTTTGAGAAGTACTTTGGTGCATACTTGGGTACTGGGTGGCAATCTAAAAGCAGGAAATCAGTAACAGATCATTTGACTAAAGGTCCCAGTTGCTGTTTAGCAATAAAGGTCAGAGGTCTTAAGGTTTTCCTATGGACTTTTTAGGGGTAATTGAGGTTATGTGTAAGAACTTGGACCATATTTTAAAAGCCTGCACAGAGGTGTTGATAAATTCCTTTCTTAAAATGAATAAATACAACTTTTGCTTAAGAAGTGAAAAAGAAAACCAGCCCCGCTTAGGGTTTTATAGCACTGTGTGTGCTGCACATATAGTTTAATTCTTTAGCTCATGGTGTCCACAGTGACCTCAGACAGAATGAAGGAGAAATTGATGTTATTAACCTTGTGGCTCGCTGTGACTGCCAAATACCCCACTCTTCAAAACAAGAATGAAGAAAGACATTCCTTTCTTGTTTTCCCAGCAGAGGGTATTTGCAGCCCTGTGTTTTCGTTTTCCAGCCCAGTCTCCCCGCTGTGGAGCACACAGAGGCCCTCTTTTTCCGAGGGCCCACTCCAGAGCCAGCCCTCTGATCCAGGAGGCTTGCCAATGAATCCCTCTTATTACGCCGAGATTGAGTGCAGCCAAGCAGGCCAGCCGCTGTGCACCCCTATTACTGCTCGAGCGCGGCTCGGGAGATTGCTTGTCTCTGCCTCTTAATTGGCGACAGCAGCTGAAAAGCACAAGTGCAGCGAGGAGTAAATAGGTGGCTGGACTGTGCTGCATGCAGATGGTGTGGGCGCTGGGCTCAGGCCCTGTTCAAGTGCTAATGCCAGGAGTGCTTTTGTCAGAAGGACTTAGATGCTCTCTGACTCTTACCTTGTAATATTCTGGCGCACCTCTCCTAATATGGAAGTGGTGGATTTCATATTACAGGAGCGATTGCCTTGTCATTCTGGCAATATCCCAGCAAATTGAAAAGAATGGTCCCATTATTTTCTAGGCAGCGTTTACGGACGATTGGAATACAGAGCATCCTTTAGCATTTGTGTGAGCTGGGGTCTTGTCAGGATATTTTGAGCACGAGTGTTCGAGGGATGGTATTTTCTTCCTCTATTTCACACCCTACTAGTTTAAATGAGCTCACACATAATTCAAATTTTATTTACAAAGTAGACTGCTCATTTTTTTAAGTCCTTCCAGGGAAGAAGAGGTGTCCAATGAAAGTCAATCACTTTATCTGGAAACAAAGGCACTTCTTGGATCCATTCATTTTCTACCTGGTTTATCCAATACAGGGTTGCTAGGGGGCTGGAGCCAATCTCAGCAAGCAGGTACTGTTTCATAGAAAAGAAATACTGAGAACTAATAAACCAGTGAGATGGCTCTTCCTTTAAAGTCTTGTAAATGTGAATGGAGAATGGTTCATTACATCATGGATCATGGATCTGAGCAGACTCAAAAGAAGTCTCTTCATTCTGAACACTTCAGGTGTGTGCACAAGTCATTACAGTGCCTTCCTGTAAAGAGCAGGACCGGTTTTCGAGAGATACTAATTACAGGCCTCTCCGTTGCCCTGGGCCCACATTCGTTCAGGTGCTCCTGGCAGTTTACATGAGCTGTTTGTCCCAAAAGATTTGAACATTGAATTTACTTAAATTTCACTGATGGTGAACAGCAGTTACATCAGGAATTCATTTGTACACAACATTTTAAGATCTGTTTGAACTAATTAATTATGAATTATTTATAATGGTGGAAAACTTTTCCAGTTTATATTCTTCCTGTACCATTTGAAACAAAAAGGACATTGATGTTCTGATCATCTTATTGGAATATCGCCTGTTGGAATTCCTTCTTTTAGTATTTGAATCTTTGTAATGAGGACTAGGCAGATGAAGCAGAGCTCCAAGTTGATTTCCGCAATATGGAAACAATTACTTTGGAAGAGCGGGGGTTGTCAGATAGGATTCAGCAGCTTTAGAAATTCATTCGCAAATGGACACTGGCGTGTCGGAGTGGTTTGGATGAACTGGAAAAGTCTTTGATGCAGGGGGAGGTGAATGCTTGTACATCAAGGGTCATTCTCTTAGTTTCAGCCTTTAAACCTCTTGGACTGAGTTATTGCCCTCCTGAGAAGATACCACAGTACTCAGGTTTAAGTAATAGATAAGCTAAGCGCTTATAGTGTGCTGTTTCATAAGGAACCTCGTATCAATCAAGAAATTTATTCATGGTCGGCCTAATTTATATTCTTACTTCGTTTTGAATCTGTTTGACCTGACGCAGGACCCTGTAAGCTTCTGTGTTCAATCCTTTTCTCACTAGCTTATCCCATTCTAAACAATTCTCTGCTGTGGTCCTTGTTATTTATTTGTAACTGTTAAATGTAGAAATAACTGGTTTTTGAAAGACTTGTCGTGATTTTTGTCAAAATGGAGGCAAGGAACAAAGGATGGTGTTCTTGAAAAGCCTTTTGGCACAGCAGAAACATATTTTCCACCTGTGCCTCACCGTGTCTCACTCAAAGAGTTTAATGGTTGAAATATTAACCTTCTTCTGTGCACTTCCTAATGTTTTCAGGTGTCCAGGTATTTTTCTATAAGAATAGTTGTGTATACTAGTAGCAATCCACATAGAAAACATAAAAACATAGCACTCCAATCATTTATTACAATAATTGAAATTATTAAATTACACAGCTCACTACAGCAATTTCTAGGATTTGTTTCTATTTAAAAGTTAAGTCATATCCAAAAGGAAAAAGGTCGACTTAACTAAGTTTTCTGTAGGTCTTGCTTGGAAGAAAATGTAATCAATAAATTCAACATGCCACGAATATTAAAGGCGAACTGCAACACTATATATTTCTGGGTCAGAAAGAATCTGTATTGATGAGTGCATTTCAAACCACAATAAAGGTCAAATGTGTGCAGTAACTTGTAAAACCTATTTAGTATAGCATAGAATAAATACACAGCCCATTATTCTTCGATTCAGAATGAGGCAACAAAACTTACCATAACGTGTTGCGGCGGTATGACATTTTAAACAAACTCGTAAAAATATTGCTTTCGATTCCAAGATGGCTTTGCTGGCAGAGACTGCTTGTTAAGTCTGCGTGTTTATCACATTGGAAATTTCAGTGGTGAAATGTCTGATGTACGACCTGTACTTACTTTCTTATACATCGCATTGCATTAGTCAATACAGTGACTAGTGAGCAGGAAGGGCTTCATCATGTCCTAATTCATGGGAACTCGACTTACAGTACTTTCACAAAGTTCACGATTTTGTGCTTAATTTGTAATTTGTCACATTTTTCTATAATGTCAATGAATTTATTTTGTTACCAAGATCTAATAACCAGTTCGAGAAATTGGAACTTTAGTTCCCCTTTTAGTATTACAGAATCTTGCTTTGAAGAGTGTACATTTCTCCTGATAACCGCGCACAGTGGTCGTTTTTTAAAATGGACTTGTGTCTAAGTAGCTCAATACCATGTTATATTTAGTGTTTTTCTGGAGCCTTCTGCTTTAAACCTCCAAATGTGCACAAGCGCTGTGTGTATTTTGTCACTGAAAGCCCCAAGGTGGTTCCGAGAGATGTTATCATAAATGTATCTGATTGTGGAATTGTGGATTGAGGAATTAGTGTCAAAGCTCACCTACAGAAAGATTGAACAAGACTGCAGTTTTGCAACAAAAAGGGCAGCCCATCCACAGCTCACCCTGCTCTCCCTCTGTTAAAAACAGCCTGCGGCTTTTTGACTCCGGGTGTGTTCTGAGAGTCTCCCTGGATTTGTGTACTCTACCTCCTTCCTAAGTGTGAAAATGCCACCCTCTTAACTGTTTTCTCCTCCTTTCCTCACAGTTTCCAGATACGTGTGAAGAGTCTGGCTCTCCGTTTGTCTTCATCTGTTCCAACCCCCAGGAACTCCTGGTGAAATTCCCCATGAAAGGGAAGCACAAGATCTGTAAGTCCTGCCTCTTTCATGTAGTGATTAAAGCTGCCTGAACCTTGCTGAGCTGTCACCGTCTTTTTTTTTTTTCGCACACAGATGTACTTGTGAAAGCATGCTTTTATTGACTAGTGTCTGAGGGAGCTTCAGCGCTGACATCCTGTCACCTCTGATTTGTGTGCTTTGTGTGTCTGCTCTTTCAGGATATTGATACTGTTCTTCACATCTTTCCTCTGCTGTTTTCATTATTTAATTATAAAGCGGCATAGATCTGTGCTGAGCATTTTGCCTTAAACATGTTCAGCTATAGTGCAGGTTATTTCTATTTTTTAGAACCTGCCACTTCTTCTCTGCTTAATACGCAAACCATGCTTCTCAGGATCAAAATTTTTCCAAACCAATTAGGAGACAAAGGTGAACAGATGACCTGAAACTGACATCACTTGAATTTTTCTTTCTGTTCACATGCAAGATTCCTTTTCTTTGAAATTTAGCTTTCCTTTTCTCCCTTTTGGCATCCATGTGTGGACCTGTGCAGTGCCTTTGAACATAACTGAGTAGCGCGTGTCCTCGCTGATGTAAAACAAGAGCCCTGGGTAATATAGCAGATGGGTTCTGCTGGCCCTGCAGTTTCAAAGCAGACATGCACGTGAGCCAAAGCACAGTACTTTTCAGAGCTCTCTAGATATTTTTAGAAAACGTCACTGTAGACTAATGGCACACAATGAATAATTCCTTTTACCATAGTGTGTCTCTGCACTTAATGGCCTCAGTGTTTTAAATGTAATACAAAACGGTAAAATAGTAGGCTGGACCCTCATGGCATCTTAGGACTCATATTAAACTGAAAGATTTAACATTGCTCCGCAAGCAGAAGAAACACCGGCTTCCTCTTTTCCGCCCCTATCCTTGCATCTCCACAGCTGCTGATGGGATGAGGATGCCGCCACAAATTAATTAATTTCACCACCAATTTCCCTTGTGATGGAGGAGCATGTCCTGTTTTCAGTGGAAGAGCCGCTCACAAGCCCTACGATCTCCTGATCTCCTAGTCATGCTAGCTTCTTCCCAGGAAAGAAAGGAGCTCTCTGTGCCACAGGCAGGGGGATTGTAAGAGCAGGCCTATTCAAATGCCTATTGTGCTTGGTGTAGCGCTCTTGCTTTAAAAGCACTGCCCTGCAGCTTTTTTCTTGTTTTCTCATTATCTGTTTAATACTGGTTGTTCTTTACCGCATAGGGTACTGCATTAAACACAGGCAAACTTTATTCTTCAGTTTACACACTTGATACAAGAACAAAAAGGGAGATTAGCTCATTACAGCCCACAGCACGCATTTAAACAATTACATGACGAAGGAAGGACGTGTCCCCAGCTCTAGTTACTTGCACGCGTAATACAGTACATGCATCCACTCCCTGATCCAGGCTGATCATTATTGTGCTCCCAGTCTGTACAATCTGTGGCATGTAGAATTGCATTGGGTCTGGACTCTAATACTGTAATTAAATTTCAACTCATCAAAGCCCATCGAGCACCGCCATCTGATCAGCCTTCATATCCCCTTTATTCATCTGTCTTGGAGCACAGAGTCAAGGTCGCCTCTACCATTTAACGATGAGTATCCATGACTGCAGCCCCTGCGTTAGCATTGGATTTACGTTTCTCGGTTTTCATAATCTACTCCAGAGGGTTTGTAAAGGAATTTTGTTTTCCTTAACCTGGAATCATGTTGTGGAAATGATCAAGTGAGGTAAAAAAACAGTATTTTATTGCTAAAACAGTCAAATACTGATCTTGGATGACATCACAGTTTGCAGTATGAAGAATTAAGGTGTTAAAAAAGGTGTTGGATTTTTGGATCTGTTTTCACACAGCTTGTGTATGAGTGTACAGTAAACCCAGCTTCTAAACAACCATAACGCTTCCAAACTGTGTGCAGCAATTTTAGATCTGCTATGGGATACAATGTCTTTGGACTTTGTATTGATATGATTGTACAGGTATTTTTTTAATTAATATTTTGCCAGCTTTTGTGCAATGTGGGAATAATATTGTATTTCATTTGTCAGTACAAGAAAAAACATATGCAATATAAATAAAATTGTAGGAAGCATCTTGTTAATGAGATCACTTGATATCTACTCTAGCACTGAATTCTTTAAAAAAAAAAAACTTTGTAAAAATATGAGAGAGTTTAGGATCTTGTATGCAGTCACCTTACCTCATTGTTCCTGACGGGCTGCATTTTAGGAATAGGAAAACAGGGAAACACAATTAACCAGCATCTGTTTTTTATTGTTTAATCTCTTTCTTCTGTTGGAAAAGAGGTTATTTATTCACGTGCTTCATTTAGTATTCATACATTTCCAAGTCTGTTTGCAAACTCTGAGTGCGAAGGGACATTTTATGCTCTGGAGGATACAGAACAGAAATAGTGTTTCAGGTCCATTGAGCCCAGCTGCAGGAGGGTCGTTTTTGCACAGTAGATGTGAGGAGGGCCGAGGAACGGTGGAGCTTGTTTATTTCAGATCTGTCACTCAGCTAATGGGGAGCATGGAGCAGACAGAGCTGTTAATGTGGAGTCAGGAATCAGTCAACCAACCGTAGAACTGATCTAGAGTGTGCTGTTGGCTCTGAGACTTTGCAAGAAGATATAAAATTATAAAAATGTAATCTAATTACAGATACATTTGATTGTACATACAGTGAGTATGTTAAGGTTTGGTGGAAAGCTTAAACTAGCCATATACACTGGTTTTCACTTGTGTTTTAGTCAGCATTGTCCCTAAAAAAGACTACCTGATACTCTCCTTTGTCTGCTGGTCTTTTATCTGGACTTGAGACCTTGGGACCTATATCAGTTTCCAGTGATTCTGGTTTGTGATGTGTGGAGATGTTTTGTGGCGCTAGTTTGGACATTTATAAAAATAAATGTGTTTATCTTTATGTTTCTGTGCATCTGTTTATCAATGTTAAATAAAAGGCTCAAATGGAAAGAAATGCTCTTGACAGATTAATGTCTTGCTATTGTCAAAGTGTCGGAAAAATTGACCTATGAAATATGAGTGACATAAAAAATAAACCAAAAGATTTCCAGGGTTTCAGATAAGCAGTGTGAGCATTTTTCAAGAAAAAGAAAAACATGTTGCTTGTATTTAGTCCAAAAATCTCCTTTGATGAGGAGAAGGTAAGTGAATACATTATTATTATTATTATTATTATTATTATTATTATTATTATTATTATTATTACTAAGTGAATGCTCTTAAGAGTTTGATCGTTGGTTGTGATCTGCCGGATGCTGTCTTCAGCGATTATGTCAGGCGATGTCTTGCTAGTGTCAGAGTGTCTGAAAAATTGAACAAAAAACATCATGTTGTGGTGAGAGCCAAGTACTGTCACAGCCCATTTGTGCCGGGAGAAAATGGCATTAGATGAGAATTTAGTGGAAAATTGAATACTATCGCACATGTTCGTTCAGGTCCAATGATTCCTTGCAGCAGAATCGGTGACCCAGAGTGGAGAAACAGTGAGGCCTGGTTTGGAGGCACTGTGCAGTGATATCAGTCAGGGCAGTTTGAGAGGTGGGCCACCATTCTGTGTTTGTTGCCAAAATATGACCTGTCATTTGTGAGCTGTCATTTTCTGTCGTCGTGTTTACCCAACGAGCTGTGACCATGTCTGACGAAGCAATTATGAAGATGTCTGTTTGGACCCGTGGTTAATCCTAACACACCGCTGCCACAACCAGTTCGAAATAGGCCAAAACAAAACCCTCTGCTGAGCAGATGAAGATTTACCTGTTTTCTCAGGTCAGATAACTTCAGTAATGTAATGTAAGATTGTCATGTCTCTGCCAAGCTGCTGTCAGGCTGTGATGGCTGTGACTCAGCCTTGTTCAGCAGTGCTGTGCAGCATTTTTCATAATTAACGCAATGCAAGAGTACCCTTGCCAGCTCCTTGCAAAGTGCTGACATAAGATCCCTGCCACTTGTGCATAGAGGTCACAGGCTTGGTCTCCTGTCATGAGCCAATACCCTGCGGTCCTTCAGGCTCAGGATAGAAGCTGCGCGAGTGCCGTTTCTGTTTTTTCTCAAAATCTCACCTGTCTGAGGAATAATAGGCAAGGGCGGGTACTTTTGTATTCTAATTTGATACTGATTCTGTCAGACAGAGTCTTAAGGGAGAATCTCAGATGAAAGAGTTGGAATCCAAATGAAGAGGTAATTCAGTGCATGTAAAAGATTTTTATTGGCACGACTCTGTGATTTGTGACTGGCTAATGAAGAATATTTCTGGAATTGTGTTAAGTGAGGTTCATTCATGGCTTATGAATAGCTGCACACACAGGAGTATAGTCATACCTGCATCCTTGGCCTGGTCTCAGTCATTCCATTTCTATTATGACTAAAATTGTATCCTGAAGAGATACAAAAAGTGAGTATTTGAATTTACCTTGCTTCTATGTGTAAGGGAAGGTATCTCCTAACTCGACAGTGTTTGCACTGGGATTTTCATTATAACCAAAGTGTGATTTTCATTGCAAGTACAAAAGTGGTAACATTAAGTGAGCTGATTAAAGAAATTAGATAGATAGATACTTTATTGATCCCGTGAGGGAAATTGCAGTGCAACAGCAGCTTAACACACACAACACAGCCACAGTGTAACGAATTACATACTAATAGTACAATACATACAATACAGTACAAGAGTTACTCACAGTCCGGACACACAAGAGGAAACTAGAACAGAACAGTACACAGAAAATCGTATCACACGTATGAATATAAATATAGATGTAACCATAGATATAAATATAAATATAAATGTATTGCACAGGTCCCTGGCATATATTGCACAAAAGTGGTCGTCAACGGGAAAAAGAAAAAGAAAGAGAACAGATGTAGCAGTAGATGTGTATATGCGTTTAGTCCAGAAACAGGTCACTGTCGCTGTTGCCTCTGCCAAGACGCAAGGTGGATGCGTTGTACAGTCTTATGGCAGACGGCAA